GTAAAACCATTTTCAAAAAGAGAAAGCATTCCATTTTTACCTAGTTAAATGCAATGTACCCTTAGCCAATTTACCATGCAATCTACCCTTAGCAATGTAACTTCTACCACAAAAAATGTATTTTGCAGTGGCTAAGAATTGACTGAACTTGGACTGAAATGCTATTTCCCATTATTTTCCATCAGCATTTACCAAATTATTTAATTTGGGGTTAAAATAATAGCAACTAGAATTTCGGTCAAATTTCGGTCAAATTTTGGCTTGGGATGTTATCGGTCGGTATTCGGTCGGAAATGTTTCCCAAAATTCGGTTTCGGTCGGTATCGGTCAGCCATTTTTTGGAAAATGACACCACTATTAGCGACGACTGGGTAAATCGGCCGAGAGGGACGAGCGACAAAGCTTAATTCGAGGAAAGGAGCACCATAGGCAGCCATGATCGCATATTATATACCTATGTTTAAAACGTTTGAGTATTGAGCTGCTCCGTCCTATCTGTAGCTACCGTTGAACAAACGGCAAACAACGCTATACAATCGAGTTCGACCACTGAATTTACGGACCATTCATGTAGCTAGCAAAATATCAATGAAACTAGCTTGCAGTCGGCACAAAGGCGCGGCGTTTCCGCTCCTGTGCCATTCCATTCGCTCCACTGCAGCCATCTGACCCGGATTTCAACTGCTGCCAGTCTGGGGCTGCATCGCTGCAGCCCAGGTGGCTGCAATCTGCCGCTGCGCCGTTCGGCTGAGGAGCTCCGTCTGACGCGCCTCGATCGACGATCGGGAGTACGGGGTCAGAGAGGGCGGTGCAGTGGGTTGCCGAGCAGCCGCCGACACTCGGTCCCGCCGGCGCCGGAAGACCGGCCGCTCGTTTGTTGGCTGTCGAGATCGGCGATGAAAAATTGACGTAAACTTGGCGGAGGCTTGGGATATGTTGGAAGCCATAGGGTGAATTTAATGCTTGACAAGCAGTCGCTCATTTATCTATCGTTCAGTTCAAACTACTTCTGGGCGGATAATTTTCCTAGCCTGTTTCCATGGCGATTTGAAATGTAAATGTGCCGGAGTACCCCACCAGACGTCAGAATTTCGCTCATTTTTCGCCTTGAGTCACGGCGCAGCGCCGATGACTCAGAGTTCCGAGCCGATGACTCACCGGGCGCCGGGTCCGTCCGAGCTAATTCGTCAGCTCTACTCTCGGCCTCCACTGCTCTCGCTCGCGCCGGCCACGCACGCAGGAGGTCGGTGACGTCACTCAGGGGCCACGGACAATAGTCTGTGACGTCACAGCCGGAAACGACCGGTCACCGGATACCGAACGGCTCAGCATTTCGGGTATGTTCTCGGAATAAAGTGACTGGTCAGCGGAGAAAGGGTGCTCTGTTCCAAACCTGTCGCGGTTAATTTAGGAACGGAACACCACAGAGGAGTGCAATTTAGGCCAAACGTTTCACGTCCTGTTTGATCTGTGGTCCACCTTCCAACTATGACAGGCGTCATATGCGCCCATCTGCAAACTGTGACAGTCGCAGAGATTTGTCGAAAGGTCGGACGGCGCCGCCCCCGAGCGGAGCGCCCATCGGTTGCACTGCAGCGGTTCCGTGATCCGTTCTCCGATACTCGCTTCAGCTCGGCGGCCGGTACGGACGGCGTCAAACTAACCTCGCATCATTCCGACATATCGTGTCCGATTTTTTCCGCACTACTCCGGCGAACCGGTCCGGTCGAGGCGGGGAGATGGAGCTGTCAGAGGTGGGAGAAACCCGGCGCCGCGCTGGCAGCGGCTCCGCCCGGGCGGGCTGTCAGCAGCTGTCACCATCGGCAGGTGACAGGCGGCACACGCGGATAACTCCCGAGTCGCAGGCGGAAGACACAGCGAGGTAGGTGGGTGGGTCGGGGACGGGTGGAGGGTAGCACAGGGCGGCGACAGGGCGGCACAGAGCGGCGACAGGGCGGTGGTAGGCGGAGGCGGTTCGCAGAGAGGTGAGGACGGGTGCGGTGGACCGCAAGCGTCCCAACAGCAGGGTGCGTGTGCGTGTCGCCGCTTGGGACACGCAGGGAGCGCGTGAAGGGTCAACGAACGGAGGACGGCACACGGGACAAAGGTCGGACAACTGGGGCGAAGCCGAGCATTGACAGCCAAACCATTCATTGTCCACCGCGGGATCATGCCAGGCCATCGTTCTGGGCGGCCACCGGACCTCGACACATGGACCTAACAGAGCTACAGAAGGACCTACAGATGGACCCACTCTCGGTACTACTCAAACAAAAACTCCCCAGGCCGTGTCCGTATGATGCACCAGACCACCTCGAGTGAAGGCCATGTGGAGTCTACACATAAACACACCCACCCACCCATCGGCATAGCGGGCCAGCCAACGACCGGTCTGTCGCCGGCCGGACGCCACCCGCCGGGTCAGGTCCCCACAGGTCAGCCGAGGGGTCATTTCCCACGCGGCCGACCGCTGCACGTGCGCCGGCTCTGCAGCGATGAGCGAAAATTGCCGCCATCGACAGGTTTCCCATCTGATAGGTGGTGATTGATTGACCAGAATGGTCGCTCGAGTGACGAACGGGCACCCGTTTGGAGCCGACCATCCACGTCAGCTCTCGTGTTCGCCGTGACGAAGCGTTCTCGGTACTACGGCTGCGGCGGTAAAACACGTGTCATGAGCATGGGTTCCCCGGACGGCGAGCTGGATGTGCCGGTCCGCGGATATCACTGACACAGCGCAATGCCTGTGAATAGCTGCACGCAACTGAGGACCAAATTGAACTATTGCAACTGCTTCTAGTCAGCTTCAGCAATCGGTGGTCAAGGCCACACAATCCCAATAGTACTATCCAGGCACCGAGTCTGCATTCCACATATCCCTCCGCGCAGCCGAATCAAGTCTCCACCCCCGACATGTTTATACCGAGCGGCGCTGAGCAAAAAGTCCCGCACGCACAGTCGCCGGCCGGTGGGCGCTGGAGGCCAAATAGAGCCGGATGACTTGCATGGGCCGATGGTGCACAGCCCCCTCAATGCCCCCCCCCCCCCTACCCCGCCGCCAACGTCTGGCATACAGAGCCGACGCACCGCCGCACGGCGCCGCAGCCACAATGGCTATGGTAATACATTGGACGGCGGGCGGCGCCGGCTTAATTAATCCCACAGACGGCAGAGGCGGTAGGGACAGCGGTATAGAGGTGACAATGCGAGAGCGGAGGGAGGGGAGCACCGGGCTGCTGACCTCATCAGCGGTCACGTGACTCGGCGCATCACCACGCATTGCACGCACTTGGTTCGGCGGAGGTATTTGAACGCGAGACGCCAGACGTGATCGGCACCCATCACGCGGCGTGACACGTGCGGTCAGCGGCGCCACGTGGCAGCACGCGGCGTCACGTCCAGCGCCGGCCACGTCCCGGCTACGCATCTCCACGTTTAGCACCGTCACGTTGTCCGTCCTATTCACGTGCGGGCGCTAATCCGGCGAGCACACGCGCCCCCCGCTGCGGAAGCTCGGGCATTGTGCGTGGACTGACCTGCCCGGCTCGGCTGCTGCACTGGCCGCTATAGCTGACCGGCCGACGGTTCTGAGAAGCCGGTTTTGCGGGCGGAACACGATCGGAACTTTGGAGAACGGGCGTGCGGATCGCAGCGACACGAGCGTGCGCAAACGGACGCGGAGACAGGGCGGCGGACCGGAGCAATCGGTGACAATCGCGGCGGGTGCGGCCGGCGCGTGACGTGACACTTACGCGCGTCACGACTGGGTAACGGTGCGAGTGTCACGTCCACAGGTCACGGCCACGATCACCTTAGTGTTGTACGGAGCTGGCGTCACGAAATGTGCTGTGTCAACTCTATATATTGCAAGTTGATCCTTTTCAGAAGTGTCACTCCAGATGAATGAGTAAATGGGAGCATAGAAATGCTATTCCGACTAATTAGCTCTAACCGCACACATACGATTGAATCACCACTGCCTCTCTCTCGGTACGTACCCATTTCGATCATCCCAGCCTCACACAAACCACACAAAGACACTCAAAGAACCGGCCGGCACCGCACCGGCCAACAACAGACAAAGCACGCCGGAGCGGAAAGTGGTCGGCCGAGCCGGCCCGGCCCATGGTCGGGCCCAGTTGATCCGACCGACCGGTCCCGTCTAACCAGTCACGGTCGACGAGCCATGCACGTGGAGCGACTGGGGTACCCCGGACCGGCCCCGGCCCGCTCGATCCCCAAGGGACTGCACAGTGGAGTGTGTCGATGGGGCTTCAATGATCCCGCAGGCACCTTGCTCTCTCTCTCTCTCTCTCTCTCTCTCTCTCTCTCTCTCTCTCTCTCTCTCTCTCCTCTCTCTCTCTCTCTCTCTCTCTCTCTCCTCTCTCTCTCTCTCTCTCTCTCTCTCTCTCTCTCTCTCTCTCTCTCTCTCTCTCTCTCTCTCTCTCTCTCTCTCTCTCTCTCTCTCTCTCTCTCTCTCTCTCTCTCTCTCTCTCTCTCTCTCTCTCTCTCTCTCTCTCTCTCTCTCTCTCTCTCTCTCTCTCTCTCTCTCTCTCTCTCTCTCTCTCTCTCTCTCTCTCTCTCTCTCTCTCTCTCTCTCTCTCTCTCTCTCTCTCTCTCTCTCTCTCTCTCTCTCTCTCTCTCTCTCTCTCTCTCTCTCTCTCTCTCTCTCTCTCTCTCTCTCTCTCTCTCTCTCTCTCTCTCTCTCTCTCTCTCTCTCTCTCTCTCTCTCTCTCTCTCTCTCTCTCTCTCTCTCTCTCTCTCTCTCTCTCTCTCTCTCTCTCTCTCTCTCTCTCTCTCTCTCTCTCTCTCTCTCTCTCTCTCTCTCTCTCTCTCTCTCTCTCTCTCTCTCTCTCTCTCTCTCTCTCTCTCTCTCTCTCTCTCTCTCTCTCTCTCTCTCTCTCTCTCTCTCTCTCTCTCTCTCTCTCTCTCTCTCTCTCTCTCTCTCTCTCTCTCTCTCTCTCTCTCTCTCTCTCTCTCTCTCTCTCCGCGTTACTCACCTCGTCACTGTCATATTCGTAGTCCGAATTCGTCGGAGACAAGGAAATCCGACAGGGCGCACGGCCCAGCATCTTGGCTGCTGGTCGTAACGCCGTCACCGACACTCACTAGTTCTCTCCCACACACAGTCACAAGTTACGTCGCTCTGTCACTGGCAGTGAACTCCGTCCGCCCGCCGCCGAACGCTCTCCCCTCGCCGGCCAGCTCGCGACTGCTCTGCCCGCTCGCTCACGCACCCGCGTGCCTCTCCGCTCGCGACAGACTGGCGCCGCGGTGAGCGCACAACCCGCGCCGGCGTCTGAATCAGCGCCGCTCGGAGGGGGCCGGCCGAGGCAGGGGGCGCCGCCGTCGCCCCCGCACCGCCGCCGCCGCCGCCACCGCCGCTGCCGCTGCCGGTCCAGGCGCGCCGGTCGGCGGCGGCTGGTGGGCACCTGCGGCCGTCACCCAGCGGGGAGCCGGAGCGACCCCACGGCCCGTCTGACTTCTCACAGTCGGGGCAGGTCTATCGGAGTTGGGCTGACCCGACAGACCCGACAGACTGACGACGACAGGACACAGCGATGGAGGGACGGAATTGTACGCCACGGGCGCTGCTGAGAATCTCCAAGGCGGATGATGTCCTTCCGCTGCCTGCCCGGAAGGACGGAGACGATCTAGCTTCCGGTGCCGGTGGTCGATACGGGCCCAGTGCGCAGCTGGCCCTGGAGGCCACCTCTGGGTCAGCCGTGAGGTCACCTCATGAAGTCATCAGCTCGGTCGGGACGGATGTCCAAGACGGAGAGGGTAGCCATTGACCGACGAAAGGACACAGCTTATCTAGTGGAAATGATTGATATCATTTGTGACCGATTTCATCCCTCGCGAGATTGTCTACCGATAAATTACATTGTTTCAATGAATTTATGGTGGATGCGAAACTCTTTATTTATTTAAATAAATAAATTGCAATTTTCAATTTATGGGCATGATTGAGCAATCAACACAGCAGACAGTAGATTTCAGAAGCGAATAAGACTCTGAATTGACGCGGACCGGACAAGCACCTCTCCAATATCAGTTTTTGAGTCACCAGCAGCAGTCTTCAGCCTTTTCTCATGGAGAAAGGACGTGCACCCCCTGAACCCGGAACACGGGAACAGTTCTCCACAGCACAGGTGCGTGGGCCTTCCACGAGTTCCACTCCTGCCCGCACCGCTGACGCAAAAGCGCGTTTTTGCGACAAACTCGGCGAGGCGCACAGTGCCGACAGCCGCGCTCTGCGGGTCGAAAAACGCCCGGAGAGCGGCCTGCGCGGGTCGCTGGGTTTGTCGGCGTGTGGGGACCACAATGCACCTCTCCCTCCCCTGCGCAGGACGGAGAGCCGTGAGGCTGCCACCGCACCGGGCGGCCGTATTCAGCGCAGATGGACTGTGAGGCTTTGTTAGGCACGGACATAGGGCCTTGGCACGGACAGGCTCGCCGTATGCCGGCTCCGGCTGGGAGAGCGGTCCCCAGCCGGCTACCACTAGTGACATCTGTTGGCAGAACTCGCCATTGAGAGGCCGAGACGGTGCCGGCGGCGGGCGGGTTGGGGGCGGAGTGCTACCGAGGCGTCGCTGGCAGCCGAGGGAGGGGGTGCACCCCAGGGTCACTGTTGTTATCTGGGTCAAAATATACGATGTATTCGTATGACACCCTCACCAGGCACCTTTCAAACAGAGCACCCTTTGACGGCTCCAGCGGCAATCAACCATGACTTCCAGGCGCGGCATGCACCATGTGGTAAATGCCTTCGATGCAGCACAGCGCGGTACTTGGCTGTCAGTGAACGAGACAGCTGAGGGTTGACACGATCCAGGGGTGTTGCGCTGGACATAAAGCGCCATGCTTTGAGCTATCCGACGGTCAGGATAGAGGTCAACGTGGGTGGCTCGTCTCATTTCTTAGGAAACTTATCAATCGATCGTCTACCAGTAGGGGTCACAAATCAAACGGACGTTTTTGGGGTCACAACTGGGCCGATATCACAGCCTCCGGGCCCACGCCCCGGCGCACCTGCGTCCACAATTGGCTTCCGATAAGGGCGAGACACATCTGGCGGCAGAAAAAAACGGCCTCCACGCTGCTACCTCACTTATCGGCCGTCAAAAACTAGCGACAGACAGCACTTCGCCTATGCCGTTGGCCCGGAGAGAGTAAACTTGCATCGGAGGGTCACACACATCAGAGGTAAATAATCGTCGGTCAACAAGCCACAAGCATTGCATAGTGTGCATACAGTGCACACAAAGCCGCGTGCACAAAAATCGAGGCCGCGGTGTGACAAAGACGGCCGGGCGAGCGGACAGGTCTATAGGGCACCCCACGCGGCGCCGGCACAAGCCGCGACAATGGAGGGCTGATATTTCCATTGCAGATAACCGCCGCAGCTTCTGAGTTGGTTTGTGGCGACAATAGCGGCGCGGCTGACACACAGACGACGTAATCGGCGCACTCGATCGGCGCGGCGAGACGTTTGTGGCGCCGGGAGGTCGCCCCGCCGGTCATCACGGGATGCTTTACATGCCGCTCTGCTCTCGGCAGTCTAAACAATCCGGCGGGTGCGGCTCTCCGGGGAGCCATCCCTCACCAACAATGCCACTTTCAATCAGCGAGCGCGCCCCTTCTTTTCATTGCGGCGGCCGGCCTGTCGGAGCTCGGAGCGGCCGGCCGATCAAACCCCATTGTTTGGCGCTCTGATCCCTTCCTCTCTGGCAGCTTTTCTCACTTGACCGACACTCGTTTCAGCGCTATCAGCTCACTGGCTGCGCCGCGAATAAAAAGGATCGGCTCTGCAGGCGCCAACCGCGAGTATCTCGCTGTTTTCCTCCCAGACAGCGTCAACATCCCGTCTGCCACCGGCGACTGAATTCAATGTAGAATGAAATCAGACACAACACAACATCGTATCCCTTCCAGAAAGTCACGTGTCAAAAGTTGACCGTGTCGCGTCTGATAGAATCTCCGTCGAGTCAGCTACCCCCTGCACTGCGCAATCAGCGCGAACCGTTACTCTGCAGCCGCTTACACATCCGACCACTCTGAGTGCACTCAATACACAGCGCCGTCTGAGCACAAACACCTCTGCGACATACTGGCTGTAACACGTGTTTCTCCATTACACCTGCATTCAATCCCTCGTAAAACAGCGCGCGGACCCGCGGTCCTCCGAGGGACGGTAACAGGAGCCGCGTCAGGCCGGTACCGCAGCACGCCGTGCGTGTGTGTCCGTCTGTCACCCTGTCACACTTGGCCGATGTCAGGCGCCGGGGCTGCGCCCGACGTACCGGAACCTGTCATCGCGGCAGATTGATGACCAGCGAATGGCATCTCGGATTGCACTTGCTGGCGCTCAATAGCTCGCCTACTGTCGACGCTACCGCCGACGGTAGCATGGCCGTAGCGCAAATTCATCTGCCACGAATCGTTCACAGAATCGCCACCGACCCGGCAGATGCCTCGTCGATCGATGCGAGGCACCCCGCCCCGTCGTTGCGGTCGGTCTCCGGTCGTTTGGCGCTGCGTATTTCCACAAACATTCCGTCAACGCCAAAGCAAGGGGTACCTCCTCCGCGGGGAGGCGCGACGCCCTCTGGCGATCGGCAGCGTCGCGCGCGACGAATCGCCCCACCCGTCGTCGGCCCATCGTCGTGGGCGACGCGCCGTCGCCGACCGTGTTTACCGATGCCAATCAGCCGCGGCCGGCCGTCCATGTGATGCGCCCTGCAGACGTCTCAAAGGGATCGCGCAGGCGCCCGAAAGGCGTCCGGAAGGCACCCATGTCGGCGCCCCGCCGGCGGCGCTGCGGTCGTCCAATATTTGTCTGACCTCCCGCCAGCAACGCAACAATAATCCAAACAAAACGGCGCCCCGGAGTCGCCGGCTGACGGCGCGGGCCCAGCGCCGGGCCGACTCCGCTCAGCAGGGCAGAGCAGCCGCTATCCAGGCTCGTTCGTCATGGGATTTATCGGCCACCCCAGACGCCGAGAGCGCTGAACAAAGTGTGGGACGACGTGGTGTGGCAGCATGAAAAGGCGCACAACTGGGCTGCCGTCTACGGCGGGAAGACGGAGCATATATCGGGCGTTTGTATAATGTACTATTTTCACGGCAATTCGGGTAGAAATGTGTGTAAGAGAGGCATCGCTCGCTGACGGTATAAGGGAGTCAAACGGAGTAGGCACCGAGTGAGATGGAGTAGGGACGGATTGGGGACAGTGTGGAGATAGAGTGGGACTGAAGTGGAGTTGGAGTAGGGACGTCGAGCAGTGGGTACCCTAGCACAGCCGGGGCAAGGGAAAAGACCGCAGCGGGCGGCGCGTCGTGCCCATTTACATAACTCTGCGGCAATCGGCGATTTATTTCAATCCTGCGTCGATTCATTCGCTCCGAACGAGTCAATAAAGGCGGCAATAAAATAGAGCGACGCAGGGGGCGGCGCAGCGGGGAGAAGGTTGTCGCGTTCGGTCGCGCTGCTCGGCCGCGCTGTTGGCGGGCTCCGTTGGCTGCTCGACTCACTTGAGAGCAGGACAATTTCAAAACTGCATCATTTCTTCGCTATAACAGGGTTGTGGCCTGTGGGCCAAACGGGCGAGAGTCCTGCTGCTGGTCGTCCGTCACACTCGTCATGCATCTTCTCACCCCATTCCTCACAGGGCACCGGATAAAGCTAACGAAGCATCTAACTGCTGGCCGCTGGGGACAGCCGGGAGGCGTGCGGCTGCCTGGCGGCCGGAGAACCCACTTTGTCGGTGGGTGCCTCCGGTCGAGGATTCCATCGCCCCAAAGGGAGGGCGAATCCCCTTCGAAGGGAGATAATCCCCTAAGGCTCGCGAGGGAGATGTGACCATTGGTGCGGAGAGCTCGGAGAGCAGACGGCCGGCGCCCGGCGCACAGCTAATCCTGCTGATGGATGGAGCCCGGGGAAGGGGATCGGACGGCGGTCATGGAGGGTCAGTGGCTTCATCATGGAGCGAGGGCTTCAGTGGAACGGACGGCGGGCGGCTTCACCGGGAACCCGAGCCCCAGTGAGACGGGATGGAGCAGGGTCGGGGACCCTGGTCACGCGCAAACAGCAGGTGACCGATTATCAATTATGCATTTTGTCTACATCTCTTTAAAATCTGATGCTATTGAAAATTCATCAGTTCTTCTTATCATTAGACACGCTCTCCAATTGCTTACGCATTCCTCCACATCCCTCCTCTCTTTCACCCAGTAAAAGCAGCGCACGCAGCGCAAAACCGTCGGACACCGAGCGCACTCTATAAGCGCTGGGTCAGTTTCCTTTTGCTCCAAACAGCCGCGCGGCTCTGCTCTGACCTAAAACAAAAACTGCCGGGCGCGCCTCGCTCTGAGAGCGGGCCCTGTGTTCGACCGGGCGGGGCGGCGGGTCAGCTACGTGCCTGTCATGAAATCGGAGGCGCTGCCGGCACCCGGCGGGCGGCCCCGCCCTGTGGCCCAGAGAGCTCGCCACCGTGCCGGTCGCCCGCTGTCACCAGGTCAGGTCAGCCGGCCAGGTCACCCACTCAATGAGAGCCCCTGGGCGGTGAGCTGTTTAGAGTGACCAAAATCGGGGGCTGCACAGCGGGACGGGGGCGCTGAACACAAAGCTGAGGATGACACAGCTGGGTTGGGATAGGGAACAATGAAAAGTAGGCTAAAAAAGTGACGCAATTACTGCTAGCCCCGCCGGCCGGTTGACACATTATTTGTGTCCAGTGCCAATGCAAGCGATTAACTAAGAAACACAAAGTAAGTGAATGTGCCTTAGACCTCGCTTGACAAAGGTTGACGTGCTCCAGTTGACTGACATCTGTATGATATTTCCTAACATCATATACATCTGATAGTGACCACTGCTAACGATGGTTCCGGTGTATCATTTGGGTAGGTGCTCCTTTCGCGCATGTTTTGCATGCTTTAGCATTTGATAAGCAAATGAGCTCTGGCTGTAATATAGGGATACACGAACGGCGAATTGGTGATTAAATCCTCACGAAGCCTTTCATCCAGCCCTAAAATGGAAAATCCACAAACAACTACACAATGGCTTTTGAGCGCCACGCTCCAGCGCACGCATTATTTGTCGCCATTTCCAATCACGGCCAGGATCAAAGACCAGCCGCCGCGCTGATGAGCCCCGGTCGGCCCACTTCCGTTGACCCTGAGAGCTGCGGCCTGCGCAGTGGACACTATACAAGCTCACCAGTTGTTGGACGGCTCAATGGTCGGCAGAGCTGGGTGGCGGGCCTGCTGTGACACCTCACAGCTGTGTCAGCTCAGACAGCTTCCGGCTCTGCAGCCCCCTCCCCCTCCCGGCGGAATGATCCCCTCTGACCGACCCGGAGGGCAGCCGGCGTCTGGTGACCCACCGCCCCCTCACACTACCCGCTTCCGGGGGTCATGAAACCGTCCTCAAAGCTATCAATGTCACAGAGGTACGGCTGCTGGGCTGTCGCCTGGATTTGACGAGACAGGTGTTCAAACTTCGCAGACGAGTTACAGGTCACAAGCAGGAAACACACGCTGGGCGAACGGCTAAACTAACATCGCCGCCGCGCTAGTTTGGCTCGTTTCTCGCAGTAAGCTGTTCGTTTCCGGGCGCTAACTAATAAAGCACAGCCGGGTGACATCAGCCGGCTCAGTCAGCCAGATCCACGTCCTCCCCTCCACTCCAAATCTCTACAAAAACGGCACTTCTGATCCCCTCATCATCATCAAAGCCCGATGAGAGGCCTCGAGGCGAGAAAAGAACCAGAGAGGAGGCCGGGAAGGTGGGGTGGGGGAGGACGTGACAAATCGAACGAGAGCAGGCCCACCAATGATCCCGGTTAAACCCAG